CTGTCGAAATGGTTACCTAATTAATGGTCACGATGGGTCATTTCGTTATTGTGATAAACTGATAACTTATCTGATACTTATCTATGAAAAATTAAATATGATATTTATGAAAATGTGTTGTGTTTGTTCGACTGTTCCGTTCGCCTGTTCGCCATACAATCGTTATTCGTACACTTGCGACTTGCAACTGATTTAACATCCCGTATCCCCGTGCACGCTATATTTTATATACGCGCCATTGTGCCGTCATCAATTCAACACACGGTCGTCGTGTATAGTATTATTTTGTACTCGTGCAAATAATAATCTTACCTTTTAACTACCATGTCCAATTTACTGAGTCAATGGTTAAAACGCAAAGATGTTGACAATGATCCTGACAATAACAGCAAAAAAATGAAAAATGACACTATGATTAATATAACCGCACAGACATCTGCAAGTTCATCATCGCTGAATACACCAGTAACTAGTATTTCATCTGGTAGTGCCACTATCACATTTAATTTAGATATAGCAAACTTTTTAAAAGAATCTAACATTAGTATAACTGACCATGACCGTGCTGTATTGATAAAATCGAGTAATATACCTGATATTGATTTTGTTTATCCATTTTCTATACATTCCAAAAAAGGCAAAGAAGAAAAGAGGTACCTAAGTAAAATTTATTTTGAGAAATATAAATGGTTGACATATTCTAAAAAGATGTCTGGATTGTTTTGTAAATATTGTGTTTTGTTTAGTGATAAAGGTGGTCGATATAAAACTATTCAATTATTAAAATTTGTTTCTAAACCACTTCAAAAATATGCCAAGCTCCTAGGTAAAGACGGAGATCTAGAAGTTCATAGTAGAAACCATTATCATGTAGCTTGTGTTGAAGTTGCAGATAATTTTATGACTACTTTTAATAATCCAAAAAATGAAGTTATAAATTTGATAAATACCGAGAGAAAAAAACAGGTTGAAGAAAACCGGAATCGTTTGAAACCTATTGTGGAGTCTATTATATTTTTAGGTCGACAGAATATTCCCTTTCGGGGCCACCGTGATCACGGTAATTTTTTTGAAAATGATCTCGTAAAAAATTCTATAGTTAATAAAGGTAACTTTCGTGAACTTCTACATTACCGAATCAATTCTGGGGATTTAATTCTAGAAAAGCATTTGAAAACTACACATTCTAAAGCTACATATATCAGTCCTGTTGTTCAGAATGAACTAATTGATTGTTGTAAAACAATTGTAACAGAAATAATTTTAAAAGAAATAAAAGAATCAAAATTCTATTCCGTTATTTTTGATGAAACTACTGACATTAGTCATTCATCTCAAATGAGTTTAGTTATACGATACGTACATAAAACAGTTGTAAAAGAAAATTTTATTGCGTTTATCGATTGTCATGCATATGTTTACAATACAGATACAGAAAAAAACTTAGAACCAAAATTAAATGGTGAAGTTTTGGGTGACGCAGTAATTTCATTATTACAAAAATTTGATTTAGATCTTAAATACTGCGTGGGCATTGGAACAGACGGTTGTTCAGTTATGGTATCGTTAGTGCGAGGAGCTGTGCAAAAAATTCAATCATATGCCAAAAATGCTATCCATTGCCCATGTGCAAATCATGCATTGAATCTCTCTATCTCAAAATCATCATCAGTACAAAGTATTAGGAACAGCGTAGGATTAATGAAAGAAATAATAGAGTTTTTCAATTGTTCATCTAAAAGAAATTTTATCTTAAAAACTGTCCTGGATGGTCAGCCTCGTTTACAAAGTTTATGTGAGACCCGCTGGATAGAACGCCATGACAGTGTTATGATATTTAAAAAATCTATACCCTATACGATTGATGCTTTAACTAAAATTTCTGAATGGAATGAACTTGTCTCTTCATCTAAAGCTAAAAGTTTATTAACAGCTATGTGCAGTTGTGAATTTATAATCGCAATTCAATGTTTATCAAATATTTTATGTGTGACAGCTCCAATGAGTCGTATTCTTCAAGGCATAAATAATGATGTGTTATGTGCTAAAAACTGTATTGACGATGTTATTTCAAATTTAGAAAATAAACGTAATAATTGCCAATCAATATTTGAAGAGATATTTAAAGAATGCGAAGAGTTAATGATTGAATTAGATATTGACGTTAAAGTGCCTAGATTATCAAAAAAACAAACCAACCGTGCTAACCATCCGGCAAAAACAACAGAAGAATATTATCGAGTTTCTGTTTATATACCTTTACTTGATAACATTATTGAAGATTTAAAATCACGGTTCTTGAGTAAAGAAAATAAGATGTTATTGAATCTATGCCTGTTAGTTCCACGATACATTGTAGATATTACTGGTGAAGATTTTAAAAAAATAATTGAGGCTGCCACAAAATTATATAATTTCAATGAAACAGAACTTGATGATAAATTGGAACTACAGACAGAATTGGAACTATGGAAAACAAAATGGCAGGGTGTAAAAAATGAAGGTACCTAATATCAATATTAATTTCTAGATAGATCTTGTATATTCTATAATTTGTTGAATATTTTTTTTTCAGGCCAGGAACTTTGTCAAGACGCCTTGTTATCAATTGATAACTGCAATTCTATTATATTCCCTAATGTGCACAAATTATTATATATAATCGCTTCTCTGCCTATTAGTGTTGCTTCTGCTGAACGCAGCTTCTCTACGCTTAGAAGGTTTGAATGCATGTGTTAATTAAAAAGCAATAATATTTACATATTTGATGTACAGTGAAGTCGCGATAACTCAAAGTTGAAGAGGGATACAATTTTACTTC